GTTGGCAGGGGCTCACTTAATGTTGGCAGGGGATCATTTAATGTTGGCAGGGGGTCATTTAATGTCGGCAGGGGGTCATTTAATGTTGGCAGGGGGTCATTTAATGTTGGCAGGGGATCATTTAATGTTGACTGTGATCATTTAATGTTGGCAGGGGGTCATTTAATGTTGACTGGGATCATTTAATGTTGACTGTGATCATTTAATGTTGGCAGGGGGTCATTTAATGTTGACTGGGATCATTTAATGTTGACTGGGATCATTTAATGTTGGCAGGGGGTCATGTATATCTTACAAGAAAAAAAGATTTCTCCTTACTTCTTGGAGCTTAAGAAAAAAAATGTATCCGGCAGTTTGTCCCATTTTCAGGATTTCTCGCTTGCAGTCAGACGCACCCTGTATTTACCTAAGTATGCCCGTCTTGATCCTAGATATTAGTGAGAGCGTCTTGATCCTAGATGTTAGTGAGAGCGTCTTGATCCTAGATGTTAGTGAGAGCGTCTTGATCCTAGATGTTAGTGAGAGCGTCTTGATCCTAGATGTTAGTGAGAGCGTCTTGATCCTAGATGTTAGTGAGATACGAACGTAGAAAGATTGCATTATGTCATATTCACCTTACTGTGGTTAGGTTGAGGAAACAAAACTGTTGACTTTGTGAACTATTTAATAATGCAATAAAGTAGTTGTAAAACAAGTGTTACGTATTTAATACATATTTAACTACCTGGCTCCAACATTCTTGCCACGACCCAATCCTCCTCGAAACACAAGCCCCCTTTTTAGAACCCCCCCCCCCCCCCCCCCAAACACAACCCCCCTTTTTAGAACCCCCCCCCCCCCCAACCACGCAACACATGAAAGATCTAGGTAAGTAAAATAGAACTTCCGAAATTTTATTTAAATATTACGATGTTATCCTTTTTATAAGTCGTAAAGACTAAAAACTATACACATGAAATTAGTACAAACTGTACACATGGGATTGGCACAAACTGTACTCATGGGATAAGCATGACGGTACAAAAAAGATAAGCACAAACTGTACACATGAGATTAACACAAACTGTACTAATGAGGTTAACACAAACTGTACAAATAAGATTAAGCACAAACTGTATACATGAGATTAGCACAAACAGTATAAATGAGATCAGCACAAACAGTACACATGAGATTAGCACAAACGGTACACATGAGATTAGCACAAACAGTATAAATGAGATTAGCGCAAACAGTATAAATGAGATTAGCGCAAACAGTATAAATGAGATTAGCACATACAGTACACGTGGGATTAGAACAAACAGTATAAATGAGATTATCACAAACAATACACATGGGATTAGAACAACCTGTACACAAGCGATTACCACAAACTGTAAACATGAGATTAACATAAACATTTAACGAAACCTGAGACCGAAATGAGAAGAAACGTCATAAGTTGGTCACGATGATTAACGCTATCCTCTCATAAAGGGTTAAATTATGTAGGTCCCATTTTTATGTGACCATTTCACAAGTATGGCGTAAATTTCCAGCAACTTGACACGACTGACGTGTCTGTACAATGTTGATATAAAAAATGGCGATATATCCAAAGATCTTTGCGAGCCTGCTCATCAACTACCAACAAATAACTTCTGTCATACTTCATGTATCAAACACAAACTGATGTCATACTTCATGCATCAAACCAATAACTGCTGTCATACTTGATGTATCAAACTAATAACTGTTGTCATACTTCATGTATCAAACCAATAACTGCTGTCATACTTTATGTATCAAACAAATAACTGCTGTCGTACTTCATGTATGAAACCAAAAACTGTTGTCATACTTCATGCAGCAAACACCAACTGATGTCATACTTCATGTATCAAACCAATAACTGCTGTCATACTTGATGTATCAAACCAATAACTGCTGTCATACTTGATTTTTCAAACCAATAACTGCTGTCATACTTGATGTATCAAACCAATAACTGCTGTCATACTTGATGTATCTAACCAATAACTGCTGTCATACTTGATTTATCAAACAAATAACTTCTGTCATACTTCCTTGTATCAAACCAATAATTGCTGTCATACTTCATGTATTAAACCAATAACTGCTGTCATACTTCATGTTTCAAACCAATAACTGCTGTCATACTTCATGTATTAAACCAATAACTGCTGTCATACTTCATG